TTAGCTTCAGCTGTTAACCTGAAACAAACTTAGAGCCACTTTAGAAGTGGAAATCTCAGTTGAAGAGTTGCCTCCAATAAACTTGGCCTGTGGGAACATCATGGGGCATTTTATTTTTCTATTTTTCCTAGTAACAACTTTCATCAATGTTTATTTCTTAGAGACTCATTAATTTTTTTTCTATTAAGCAGAATAATAGTATTAAACTTTCTCCTATGGCCTGTGGGATGTCTACCCTAAGGTTCCAAGACCTGATATCAATGTTAGGTATGGGTTCTAGCCTATGAAGGGAACCCTAATTTGAATTAGAAAGTGATTGGTTACTCTTCAGAAATATTTGTGCCATTATTGCATCAGTGGCATATCTTGCCAAGCCAGGTGTTGTAGCTTGCAGGATTCACAGATGAGTAAGATTCATGCCAATTTTTCTCAACTAGCTTGTATAGTATTCTCCAGAACTATGCAAGCTAGACAGTAGAGATGAGGCTATGAAATCATCATCATCTTGTGCTCTTTTTTGTTTTGCAGTTCAAGTATATAATGTCTTCAGCAATAGGGTCTTAGCATGAAGTTCTGGTAGGTAACCAAGAACAGGAACAGAGCCAGTATTGTTTGAGGGTTTATGGAACTCATGATCAGTTAACAGCTTCATGAGACAGAGTTGATTCCTAGCGTTGGTGTTTTTATTTTGTTAGTCTATGGTGTCTGGTTGGGACAGTGTTCTCTTTTTATAAGGGAACTCCATTTAATCTTATTTTTATAAAGTTTATGTATAAATTTTAAATATCTTCTGTAGTGGTAAGTTTCCATATGGCTTTTGCTAAAGGCTTTTAATATTAGTTATTCCTTCCCACACTCCCTCCTCTGCCTCGCCTTTCTATTCCCCACCCCATTTAATCCTTCCTACTCTGTTATTTCCCCCTTTGTATCACTTCCTTCTACCTCCCCTCAGCTGTTTATTAGCTTTTTGACATCTCTGAATTTTCAAATTGAAACATAAATATCTAAGATTTCAAAGTTAGCATTCAGCTATGAGAGAGACTATGCAACATTAGATTTTCTGGTTTCTATTACCTTACTGAGGTTGATTGTTTCCAGCTCCATCCATTTATCTTCTACAAAGACCAGTTGGTTTTGGTCATAGAGTCTATTACAGCAATATAAAACAAACTAGGACACTAACACAGAAAACTGAAACTGAGGGGTCTTAGCTCTGACTACCCAACCATGTGGTTCTTAAGCATTTGGAACTAGTTTGGGGGAGGAATATGGAAGAGTGGGAACCATGGGAAGAGAAGGCATGGAGTTCCATAAACATAAAATAACAGGCAATTCTGAGGGGAATTTGGAAGATTACAATGCCAACAGAAATGTGGATAGCAACAAATATGCTAATAAAGTTTTAAGTGGAACAAAACTGTCCAGAATTGGGCTACTAGCTATTTGTGTTATATTCTGGTAAATAATCCAGCTGTGTTGTTCTTGTGACCCGAAAGCTTGAATTAAACTGAATTCCAAAGTAGTGAACTAAGTTGTTTGAGAGAACGGAAAGAATTGCCTGGAGTAGTGAGGAATTCTACTAAGTTTCCAGAGTTACAAGAAGATCCCTGACATCTTAACATCAAGGCTGTGGCCTGACTACTGTTCTCTGCTCCTAGTTATTTTTACAGTAAGAGGGAGAAGAAAGATATGACAAATGTACAATTTGTTTAGGAAAGGAGTGCATGTGTAGTTAAAGTTGCAGAGTAGACAAGGTGTGTTTGGACAAAGTGGTTATAACTTTAAAGATATTATCTTCAGTAAAGAGAAACCAAAAATCTTGCCATAGGAAAGGTGCCTTGAGGATAGGACCCTACCTATTCCTAGCTCTAGGACATAGCAACTCAAACTCATTTGAAAACCCTTCATTTGACAAGACAGTACCTGAATGAAAAGAAGCTCTTGGGCATTGAACCTAACCAGTGCCCCTAGGTTAGCGCTTTCTCAGGTTTCAGGCAAACCCGTGATGGGTGATGGGAGGCTGCAACTGTGGTCCAAGTAGCCGTACATTCTCCACTGTCACAGCTGCAAGCCTACTCTATCCACTCTGCCTTCTCCACCATGATGGACTAAACCCTTAAATCACGAGTCAAAACAGTTCTTTCCTCCTTTAAGTTTCTTCTTGTCAAGTAAGAAGAGTAGTTATTAATACACCAACTTCATCCTTCTTACATCTAGGACCTTTTCATGACTCTGGTGGTTTAGTGGGATCCCTCACTACATCAGGCACCTCTGCTTTTCACAATTTTGATCCAGCATAGTGCAACTTTTACTTTATAAAAACAACAAAATAATTCCTGAAAATACGTTTTTTCAGAAACTGTTCCTTTCAATTTGACCCTAGTTTCTAGTTATTTTATGAGGTGAAGACTTGAAGTCCAGGAGTTAGAATCTTAACTTTCATTTTCTAAACTGTGTCTTTTGTTGAGTCATTAATTATGTGTATGTGTATGTGTGTGTGTACATTTGATATGTGTTTGCTGTGTGTGTATGTATGTATGTCTGCATTTACGATGTGTGTTTACTGTGTGTGCATGCTAATTTGTGTGTGAGAATATAGGCACACACACACCATGGTTCATATGTGGAAGCCAAGACAGAGGACAACCTTGAGTGTTCATCCTTGGCATCATTGGGTCATTGCCTTCCACCTTATTTGAGACAGGGTCTCCTTTCTTTGTGTCACTGTGCACCCCAGACCAGCTGGCCCCTAGGCTTTACAGAAATTCACAATAGGAACATTGTGATTACAGGCACATCCTACTGTGCTCAGATTTATATGGGTTCTGGCAATTTGAGCTCAGGTCTTCAAGCTTGCACAAGTGCTGTTTGACCCAGTAAGCCATCTCTCAACTGTTGTAACCCTTATTTTCTAAAGTCAGAAATTGTAATAATAATATTGCTTACCACATAGGATTTTAAAAATTTGAGCATTTAGCTAAGCATGTGGTTTAGAACACACACTCAATAAATGTTACGTGTGTATATATTTTAAGGTATGATCTCAGTGTATTGCCCTATTTGGTTGTGTGCATATATAATGTATATATAATTATTTATATATCATGCTTATTATTATTGTTTGTCAATGAATCCTGAAATTCTTTGTAATCTAAGCTAGATTTAGTGACAAAACAAAAATTGCGAAACACAATTTCCTGTGCTCTCTGAGTTCAGTTTAATTTTGCTAATTTATTAATGTCTTAATGTAACACCTAAATTTAGTAGTACACAGACAAACTTCAAACAATCATTAATTCCTAAAAATTTTTTGAAAAATCTTATACATATTGTTATTGAGGAAATATCTAGAATTTTATCAATCTTGGAGACCTTCCTGTTTGAAAAAGGGGGTACAGGCAGTGCCCCAGAAGTAGCCTTTGACAACATATTTAGAGGACCGTGAATGAGCAGTGATGCTTTGCTTAATTCATTAAGCTTTTAAATCATTAAGTTTTCCCACTGAGACAGAGCTGAGCCCCCAGAGACACCTGAGACATTTTCTTCTTATCTGGTTTGGGAAACTGACTTGGGCACATGACAGGAAAACTAGAACTGGTAGAGCTGTAGACGTCAATCTATTAGCATACCCCAGGCTAATGCTAGTGCTGTAGTGAATTACAGAGGAACAATAAATCCTCTTCCAGAGATCAGAGTTTAGGGTTAGTACTAAGATTGAAGACTAAGCCCTAGGAAAACATACAACACCTGTGAAGTTTCTTTAGGTTCTGAGAAAATGCTTCCCTTTCTCCCCAGTGCACACACAGAATAGCTCCAAAGTAGAAAAGAATAAAAAGCCAACTTATCTTGGCAAAAAGCCTGGAGAGTCTAACACCCTTTACATCTCCAGAACAGAGGAAATATCCAGGTTTTAACTTGGCTCTGTGACCTGGAGCTAGCTGTCACTTAGCAGTACAGCTGTGAGATGGAGACAACTGTGTCCAGGAGCAGCTCCAGGCTTACCTCAGGGTATGGAAATGTGCTAAATCGGGACTGCTGGCAGAAAGTGTGGGCGCATGGGTTGTGAGTTGTGGAGGGACTCATGGGGCACTGTCTTGGCAGGGTTTGTTGCAAATGGTATGTGCAGATACTTCTCCAAGCACAGCTGCTAAGCACAAGCTACTGAAGGAAGAACATTTGGAGTTTTGCCAGGGAACCAAAGGACCATGTTTTCTTTCTTTTATGCAAAGCAGAATGAATACTTAACCTGCCATAACTCAAAATGTAAATTCAATTAATCATTCCTTGTTTATTAAAAGTATACTGCTTAGAAGCACTTAAGGCAGTAGTATGAGACAGTGATAAATTTTGTTTAGTGTCACTTAAGATTTCTGAGTATGAGACAGAGGTCAATTCTGGTATATTTCTAATACCTACTGATTTCTCTAAAGGCTGGCCTATATTTATGAGCAAGTTTGTTATTTTTCAGGCATAAATAATGCAAGGTGAAATTTCAGAGGAAAGGCAATTTGTTACACAACAAGGGAGAGAGTGCTTCTGTTAGATGATAGAATAAATTATGACTTATAACTCACTGGCTGGTAAACAGTATAAAAGCACCTCTGCCATGTTTCTGGATTATGAAAACTGAATTGTTCCTGTTTGAGAGTAGGACTGTGGCACAGGAAGAAACAGGATATAGGGGATAACCTGTCAAACATGTGCTGAGACCACAGAGATGCCTTTTGCTTATCCATAATAAATTGAGGCTCCTACCTCTAAGCTTAGGTCTCTGAAATGTGAGGATGAATTAAAAAACACATTTTGGATATCAACATCAATGCTTTTCCTTGGCCACAGAGAAACAAGGATTTGCCTGTCTTGACTCATTTTGGAACATGAGTTTTAGCCAAAAATGGACAGAAAGCCAAAGTAACCACTAAGGAAAGAAAATGGACTGTCAGAATAGAGAGTGGCCGTTATTCCTACTCAATTATCAACAATAAGAACTGTAACAGTACCTTCCTGGAGAGTCTCCATTTTCATCGAACAGGATCATATCTCCAGAAACTCCAGTAAAATTGGTTTTCATAAGGGAGTCCAAAAGTTTCCGTCCGTCAATTGGTTTCATTGCATCACAGAGTCCTGCATAGCCTGGACAAAGGGACATCTGCATGTTGTGGAGCCCATAGGCCATGGAGTAGATTGCATTGATGACAAATCCCATTTTGGAATCTTGAACATGATGTGTTCTCAGAGTCAGAGAACCTGTTGGGAAATAAATTAGGGATTAACTTTGAAGTATAAATCCCCAGTAGCTGCATTCATGGATCCTGAACAGTTAGGAACAGCTTGTGAGATTTAGAACCAGAGATAACACTCAGAAACAGGAGCCAGCATCTTATGCCTCTTGTCTGCTGTTTCCAAGCTTTTCTTTCAGAACCTTGAAAAAAGATGTGATCCCTAATCACAGCAAGACTCATCTCCTTTAGTAATTAAACTCAAACAGCACTGTGCTTCCATTTTTCAAATCTATGATAATGTCAAATTAATTTCCCTAGTGTCATCAATGATACTATACCTTCTTGTTTCACAAATCCTCAGCAAATCTTCATTTCCTCAGCTATTAAGTCTTCTTAGAGGAAACTAGGCCTGGCCTCAACTTACTTATTTCACTGCGTATCACCCATCTCTTATGGTCTCAAAGCATATGATCTCCATATACTGCCCAATTAAGAAGCTAAGGAATATAATGTTAATCTATTAATTCATAAACATCTATTGAGGTCAGATTATACATGCAGTTGTGTGAACAGGGTAGGGGAAATGGATGTATTAGAGATGGATTTTGAGCTAATGAAATTTGTCCAATCATAGTCCTGTTACTAATAACCTGATTTATATTTTCACATTTAAAATACAAAGACTGGGAGAAGTTTGTTCTAAACAGAGGCATGAGCTAGTGCAGATGTATATAAGTGTAGTATGTTCTTTAAGGATTAAAAAGAAAGGGAAGAAGAATAAGATGCCAGTCATAAGAAGAAGACACAGACCATAATATATGGCTTTGTGGTGTTTTCTGATTTTCAATAAAAAGCCCCTTAATTTTCTACATGGAAAATGGAATGAAAGTGGGAGAAGAGGGAAATTTATAGACTTCTGAAATAAGGCAATGGAGATGAGGATAGTTTATTCCAAGTCGGGTTCTGAGTATATCCAAAAGCATAAAAATTAGGATTGCTAATAGAGTAGATGCCTAATAGTCTTCCCAAGTATTTTAGAGAAAAAATGAATAAAGGATGAGTCCAACCATTCAGTTAAAGGAGTGATTGGTTAGAAAACCACTTCTTGATAAGTGAGAAATGAGTTGGTAGGTCTTGAGAATCAAAAATGTTTGTGCTGTTAAGCAGGGAGATGCTCTTTGGCCAAAACAATAAACAAGGGCAAAGATATTGGTGGCTTTGCTTACAGCAATAGCAGTAGAGAAGGAGGGCAGTGTTCATACTCAGGACACATTTTGAAAATAGAACAGGCATAGCTAATTGATTGGTTAGCTCTTTATCAAATAATCAGACTCTTTGTTAAGTTCCTGGTCATGGTTTTAAATTTTCATTGCTCTCTATGGTTCTACCATGAATCATCTTATAATTCTAAAGTATTTGCAATGTTTCAAATGCCATTTAGGTGAGGACTCCCTAATGGTAACACAGTATTGTTTTCAGTACAATGTGAATGTTGACTCAGCTCATCCTTACAATAGCTGATGAGGTAGATATTCTTTTTCAGAGGGAATCAGGTGTAGAGCAGTGAACCAGCTTCTCTGCTGTTAAGCAGCTACTATGCAGCAGAGAAGGGTTTAAAAATGAGATAGTCCAGCTTTTGAAATCAGTTCAACTCTCAGAGGATTACTGAGGCATATCAATCTTAACATTTGATGAAAAGTAACAGCATTCTATAGTTTGTCCAGCTTGACATACCCTCCTGTCTTCCTGTATCCATTTCTTCTTTTTCCAGTCCAATCCTTACCAGAATTATTTGGGTATCTGCATATTTATTTCCCTGGATTCAACACCAAAGTCAAAGAGCTAAAAGACTATAATATGAAAACAATTCTCATTCTTTTCTTCCTCTAGGCATTCATTATTTCTTGCTGTGGGTAGCTGTGCTTGAAAAGGATACTTAATATTCTAGTTTATCTACATAACTATTAGTTTCATTGATAAATAAGCATATAGATGTCATCTCATAAATAGTATGTACATCCTTTCATATGTGCTGCCTTTAATACTGTATTATGCAGCTCAATTTTCTTTCCATATTTGTGTGCATATATTTAACTGGTTAAATAATATTCTCATGTGTATGTAGTACCTTCTAATAATCCCGTAGTACTTCATAATTTTTGTGTTACTGAAATGCCTTTTGTGTTAATTAAATCTGTCTATTGACAAGCCACACACACATGTAATGAGTTCTGATTACTTACCCTCTCCTTTCACCCCCAGACCCCTGCCATCTCTGCCCTCTCCTCACTACAAGTCCCTTTCCCACATTCATGTATTTTCTTAAAACCCATTAAGTGTGCTCTTTGGCAGTTTCCTACAAGTACATAGTGCATTCTGTTTGCTTTAACTCCCAACCGCTCTTATTTTCTTCCAACCACTGCCTTTCCCCTCCCTTCTTGTTCTCTGCAGGTGACTTTTCCACATTCATGCTTTTATGCTGTTGCTTTTTTGTGATCTACTAAATTTACCTGGGGCCATCATGTGTCCATGAGTTTGAAACTCCGAGCTGGTGTCTAGTATGCTCAAACAGTGGGTATGCAGGTGAAGACAATGACTGGCCCTCCCCCAGAATCCATTAGTATCCAACAGTTTAACAAGGAGGAGTAGGGTCCCATGAGCCCTTGTCTCATTCTTGACATATTTGTGTTTTTTTTTATATGACAACCTGACAACCATTTTATTTATTATTATTATTATTATTATTATTATTATTATTATTATTATTTTAATTAAAAGAAGCATTTCATTACAACAGCATTAACCTATTCAATAACATTTTTCTGAGCTAGGGTACATCTCTTTCAAAATTGGCTGTACATTTCTAGGTTTACAGATGAATTATTACGCTTATATAATCTTTTACTCATTATAAA